AGGAGATAAATCACTGCAGATTCTCTCGGTCTGTCCAAAAAGGTGGAATTTGGGGATGTAATAGTGAAGTCCTATGGTTTTCTCCTTTATCATGCTATGTCTTAACACTATGTCTTATGAAACCTCCAGGCATCTGGGCAGCACACAGACCAAATTTCTCTGATGGGGTTGCAGATAATTGTGAATTTTAAAATGTTTTTTTAAAAAACACAGCCAAACACAAAACCCCAACAAAGCCAAAATCAAAGTGGAGTGGCAGATGAAGTATTTTGCACAGCTGACAAAACCTGTGTCTTCATTATACAAGTCTATAATGTCCTTTGCTTCTGTATCTAACTGTGGTATGCTTTACTTCAGGACCCACCCCTTGCATTATCTGCAGTCTTCACCAGGGTGATATTTCCAACTCTTATGTTTTCCTCTGCTAGTCAAAGGCAATCACATCTGTTTCTCTGTCTGTGGCATGTGAATTGAGTAACAGGGAGAGGCTGCAGGTTTTCAACTCTAAAAGTGAGAAATTCTTTTTTAAAAGTAAGCAGTGCCATAACCAAAAGAATGAGTGTTTGGCTCAAATTAATTAAAATAATACATGTTTCATTACTCTGCAATCTGTCTACCATCTCTCTTACCCATGTCACATGTCATTTACCTACGCACAGTTTTAGCCTTGGACTTAATGCTAAGTTCTGTTCAGCTCATTACCAAATGCCTTTCAGGACTGTTGCCAAAAATATTCTCTTCCCTATCCAAAACTGACCTGGGGACTCTAATTCATTCACTACACCATCTAGCCTTGACTACTGTAATTCCTTGGTTTGCTGGGCTTGGAGCCAAATCAATTGGCAGACTGCAGCTTAGTCAGAATTCAGCAACAGGGCTTCTGACCCAAACCACGCCAACTCTATATCCTCCCTGTGCTGCGACTCTATATTTGAAAAGCGTGTTATACATTTACTGTAACAGTTTCCTTTACACTGTAATTTTATGGGTTGAATTTTTCTTTTACCCTTCATGTCAACTGTCACACTCTTACAGAATTTTTCTGTGCTAAATTGCCATATATTCTACTCTGACACTTGCAGTAATTTAGTGCAAAGCCCTTTTCATCCTGCATCCTTAATTGGTGGAATTGGAAGTAAAATTCTACATGAAATCTGAGTATTTTATCTGCCATCCAAGACTTTTGCTTTTATTCTAACACATTTTTTTGTTTCTATTTTGTTTCTTTTTCTAGTATAAATTATGTATATAATAATATGTAGTATAAAATAATATGCATGGCAGAAAAATTGAGTACTTCTTAACTCCTGAACCCAGAGATAAATTTCAGCCTTCACTCAATCATGTATTTAAAATTGACTGCTTGATAATGTAATGCAGGGTAAAAGTATTCTCTCTACCTCTTAATCTGCAGATAAGGCTACACTTTGGTTCTCATTTATTTCTGTTTTTCTTTGGTAGTAAAATTTTCAAATATTCTGTATCAAATATTTTCTTGCCTGGGAGATATTCTAGTTTTCCATTTCATACAATCTTCTATGCAACATCTGCAGGCATTGTTAAAGGGATTTTTGCTGTTTTTCCTAGTTTTTCTGGTTGCTTTTACATTTATACTTGATAGCAATACTTTTTCCAGGTAACATTATTTATGGCAGCAGAAACCGAGTCTTAAACTTCCTATTAATATACTTATTATGACCTGGAACCTCTAATAAAGTGTATTGCACTTGCATATCATTCTAGGGTTAGTTATTTGGGTCTTTCTAACTATTTATAACACAGCAGAAAAGCAATTAGATAATAATCCTTTGTACGCAACATGCCGCGTAAATTAGCAGCCACAGAATAAGTCATTAGGAAAGATGCAATTACTTACATCCTGTAGGCCATATTGATGGGAAAAACATGACATGTTATGGACCCTTCCAGAACAATGTGTTTTTTTAAATCCTAATTTAGTAAGGAAATAGCTTTGCATATGGTCAATGAAAATTTGATATAGCATAGAACTCACTAACAGATGTTTGACAATGAATATTTCATGTTACTTAATAATTCTACTTACCAGTCACAGTTGACACTACAGTGCATTCTGGAGTTCAAGGTGCCTTGGAGAGATAGATATGACCTGTTATATAGTTTTGGGAATTTCTTCCTAGAGATCAGAAATAATCTGAAAACCATGGTCAGCAGTGAAGACTCAGATTATGAAGATATCAGCCCAAAATCTGGGGCCTCTCTTTGGACAAGTTTACCCAGACACAGACAAAAAATGAGTTAGCTGGGGAGTTTCTCAGCTAATATAAGCCATGGCTTCTCCTTAGAGGTGAATCTACCATCCCTATGGGCTGTGTGCTGCTGGATCACTTACCCATACAAATTTGATCCTGATCAGGAGTGGGTACATCATGTCTTATCTTCCAATTTCACAGAGCACAAGCATTATGCCAGCTTTAGGCTTCCAGAGTACCTATGGGAAAACAAATGAGTCTTGGTGCAACAAGAAAAAACGTGGCAGAGCAGGTTTACATTGAATTGCCATCTCATGGTACAGGAATGCAGGATCTTGGTGCAGTACAAACAGATGTGGAGGCACTTCCCTATACCACGACCTTGGCTGCTGTTTAGCTCTAATGTAATTCTTGGAGACCTTTTATGGTGGAATTTGCAAAGCTTCATAGCTTAGATTGCTGTGAATATTGAAATTGCTGTACGTACATTGACACTTTGTTTGAATAGAGCACTGATATGTTGGTCCTTGATACATACTCATTTAGTATTGTCCTCTGCATCTTCCTTTTTATTATCCTTTGCTACCTGTTTCATAAAATTTCTTTAAATGGCTTGATTTTTAGCATGTTGTACTCATACTATCCGACCTCTTGTCACTTTTTTAATTCTAAAATGTTAGGTAAGTGAAGAAGATCCTTTTAGTATTCACTTTGTCTACTGCAGTTACACAAGAAGAAGCTATGGCATCTTCCTAGCTTGCATTTCCATTGAGGAAAGTTTCTGAAATTATCACATAATGACTTTTGATAAATCTTAGCACCTGTTCACATAATGGAAATGAAACACTTTAAAGTTCAAATGTTTTTCAAAATTCGGATGATCTTATTAATACTTATTAGTGGGAAATGGCAAACCAGCTCTTCCTCATATCTTTTTGAATCTTTTCTACTTGAATTTCCACTTGCAAACTGAAAACAGATTGTTAATTAAGCAAAATTTTCTGAGCACCTGGGTCATCAACAGAATGACAGTAATTAAATTCTAGCCTCAATTTCTATACACATAATAATCGAGTGCTTTACCATTTTCATTCTCTTCAAATTAATTGAAAAAATATACACAGCATTACTTCCTTGATGCTTAGACTCTTTAGTCTAAGCAAGTTCTAATGGGCTGAAATTATTACACCTACCTTTAAAAGTTGAATGGATAAGATCATCACTGTAGGTCTGAAAGACTTTCTTTATTGTAAACTACCTATACATATTCATTTTAAAAGAAAATGAACTACAATTATTTTCTATTACTTTAGAAGGTAATTAATCATCCCTGAAAGAAAAACTCTATTCAAAATGTTGTAATTTTCTGGAATCTGAAGGCAGCCTTCAAAAGTGGTAAAAAAACAGAGAATAGAAGAAATGTGCTCAAATGAGAGATATTAACTTTTTGTTCTAGAGGTGAAAGATACTGCTTCAGTAGGTGAGCTCACCATTTTAGGAAGGATAGGTTGCTATGTATAATAAGTTTCTCTACATCTCTGGCTTAAGGGAAGAATGAGAGAAGCTCCAGATCAGCAAGATGAGGGACCAGGGCAGAGGGTGTTATAGCATTCCTGCCACCACTTTTCAGTGAGAGGAGTAGGAAGTGCTGCAAGCTGCAACTCGGTAAAGAAAGGACATTGTTTCCACCCAGGAATCTAAAAAGATAGATAGCAAAGAACCTTGTCAAAGAGTTGAAGCATTTTTCAGTTTGACTTCATAGGTTGGTACAGCTGCTCATTCATGAGCACAGCCAAGGTTGTTTGTAAAAAATCTGGATTTATTGGTGTTTTCTTCAGTTAATTGTGCTGGGATCAAGGTGACTTACATCTCAGCCAAATCATTTTTAGGCAGGTCACTGTTGCAGAAGGACAATTTTACTTTCAACTCAAGTGAGAAGAACGAAAGGAGTGTTGAGAGAAAGGCTTTCTCAACTGAGATGAACAAATAGCTAAAAACTTGAGGATCCTAATTATCCTAGAAAACTGATTGAAATATTGACGTTTGGCTTCAGAACAAATTCATTAGATTTGAATGAGGGAAGCCCATTTCATATCTGTTCTTCACCTTGTATGAAAGAAAAAAGTGTCTGTTCATGTAAGTAACCATACATAGGCCATGGAGACAGCTCTGATCTACCACAGGTGAGCCCTTTGATACTGAGTGGAGGAGAAGCAGCAGCTGCAGTCACAGAGTGCAGGGTTGATGAACCTGCAGGTAGAAGGTTTAGCCTCCTCCAGGTGGGAGGTTCAGCCCTTCCCACCTGCTGACAAGTTCCCACTATCAATCAGATAGTCACCCTTCAAAGCAGAGCCTGCCTGTCCTCCACGCTTCTGTCCGTGCAGCCCGCTCGTCTGTACGCCGCTGCCACCCAAAAACACGTGTCAGGTGGAGGTCTCAGGGTCATTTCTGTGGTCACACACCTATTGCCACACACCCTGTGTGTGCCAGCACAGGGAGTAGTAGCAGACATCACGGGGAAGCAGCTGCATGCCTGGTTCTTGGTGCATAGTTAAGAGTTGTGTAGACTAAAGTTATGGAGAGAGACTTGAAGGGAGACATCTCCAACATTGATACAATGTAAGTACGAAAGACACGTCATTGGATGGATATTGATGATGTTGTTTCAGTAATGACATCATCCATAGACTCCTAGTGTCTTTGCTTTGCTTCTCTATAGTGATCACAACATAAATTGCTTGTCTTGTTTGACTTCCTTGTTCACCAAAGTTGAGCAGATTGTCGCCGTTTTCAACGCTTCTACCAGACAAAAAGCTTGGGACCATTTCTCGAAAGCCCAGCGAAAGAACATAGACATTTGGCGAAAGCATTCTGAGGTTGGTGATTTTATTTTTACTTTCTATCCATCATCTCACAGCTGGATTGACACAGAACGAGTGTGATTGTAGCTGGACATAGTGTATTTGGCAATATTTACAGCTACCATTTTAGCTGTTAATCAACTGGCCATTTGAAGTCTCGCCTACAGTATGAATTGCTCCCATTGCTCTCATTATGGCAATAGCCATTAAATAAAATGAAGACAGGGAGCAATGTGTTTTTATTTTTCATTCAAAATTTGGGAAATCATTAGAAGATTATGTTTACTATCTAAAATAATGAACTGACATAGTGAAATTAGGAACAATATTTTCAAATAAGGAATTTAGGAGTCATCGTGATCTGTTTTTAAAAGAAGAATTCTGTGGCAAAGATTTTTTTATTCACTGTGCCATCTTATGGTCATTATAAAATGACTTTGAGTGAAAATAAAATAAAAAATTTCTTTCCTAAATAATGACTTAAGAATATTAAGTCCCTAACTGTGACCTATTCCTTCCCATTTGTTCTATGTTTATCTTAGAAAAAGTAGATACATCTCTTGTGTTGATTCTAAATATTATGCTTGCAAAGAAACCAGTATAAATGTAATCATACAACCACACGGAGTTAGCAGTGTGGGACCATGCATGTGTGACTGTCATAAGCATGAGCAGAGGAAATGGGATTCTAACTCCCCTTGCTGTGAATGGCAGCAAAGGAAGTGCTAGACCTCATCCTGTGTTTTGGTCATCCAGCTTTCGATTTTAATTCAGTATATACGCTATGAGCCTGTATTTTAAAAAGTAAGTACCGCTGTCTTTGTTTTCTTTCTTTCTTTCTTTCCTCTTCCTTTTTTTTTTAAATTTTAATATGAGCAATTTACATGCACTTGGTTTACTGCCATGTGGTACAGTGTGTTGATTGTTACTATCACAGTCCTCTAAATGATTTTTCTCTGTCTCAGAATAAAAACTTTAGAAGGTAAGGTGCACTTATTTAATTATTTTGTAGTACACTTGTAAAATAAGTGTTGTACACTTAGTTTGAGAAACACTGAAGTACTGTGATATAAATCATTGGGATAACATTTTAAGTGTCCATTAACTAATGCTAAATTACAGTTGAATACCAATGGCACTAAATGTAACATCTACATGAATACCAAATGAATACTTTATTATCAGTGCTATTATGGTGAATACAAAACTACTTCAATAATGGGACACTTAAAATAAAATGTTAGCATAATTTATTAGTATGAACTGTATTTTGCATTTTGTTCACAAGTATTTCATATACATAGTGGATAATGTCTTTGTTCAATCGAAAGTTGGGAAGTCGGGGATTGATCTTTGTCTTATATTTTAGAGAAATATAAAAATATTATTTGCTAGTAGATTATTTTAATTATATTAAGATCATCCCTTCTTAAACTAACTTTCTGTAAAGGGATGTGGTGTGTCATTCATTTGCTGGTTTCTAAATATTTAACAAACTGAAATGTGTAAGAGTTGGACTTTCCAGAAATGTTAATTCTCTTCTCATTTTTTTTTTTTCAAAAATTACTGCCTTTTGATTTTAAGAGGACAACAGCTAAAACAATTCAAAATTATGTAAAGCATCTAGCTAAATCAATATATTTTGGAAATGCCTGTTTTTCAGATATGAAGTGTGATGTAAATAAACCAAATAGTATATTTTCTTTAAACCATATCTTCTAAAAATGATATTATCTGCTGCTTTGCTTAATTACTTGATCACCTTCCAGTTTTTTCCTGAATTTAGAAAAGCTTTGCTAGAAACCCAAGGTAAAGAAAAGACTCATACACATAGACCTTCTCCATAGAAAATCATTGACTCTGCTGATAATGTAGACACTGATGCATCAAGAACATTTGTCCACTAATGAGGGAGTAAATGTAAGAGGATGTCTGCTCATATATGCAGTATCCTTTCCCAAGAAAATGTGCAGGGGGCCTTTTCCACAAAGGAATTCAGAAATGGCTTGCCAGGTTCTTCCAGAGATGCTTCTGGTTTGACAATTTAGCCTGTTAATATATTTTTTTTAAAATTTGAAATTATTCCCCTGTAAAACACCCACTAATTAGGTTCCTTGTCTTTGCTGGGATTAATGAGCACAGATACATTTTTCAGAATATTTGAGATCTGCTGATAAACCAAGAGTACAGCTGAAGAGAAACGCCTTCCCTTTTTTTCTCGCAGCCCCTCTCTGACAGATTATTGTTAATTGCACAGAGCTGTTGTCGGACTCCTCAATGCTGTCTCCTCCTTCCACACGACTCTCCCTTGTTTCAAAGATTTCAAACCACCTCTTTGGGAATTAAGCTCTTTGTTGGCAGAAAAATTAGCTGTCTGCGGGTGGACAAAGCCTACACTAATCACAGTGCAGCATCCCCATGTTACACCTGACAGGATTATTAGGACAAAATAGAGTCCTCTCAATCTTCTCAGTGCTGCCATTACAAAGGCAGCCGCTACGCCCGCGCCAGCCTTTCTGCCCAGAACAAAGAGCGTCTGGACTCCTGCAAAGCCTGCGTGCCTGCTGATCCTCTCCTGGTGACTTGTGCTGGGGCTGCCTGCCCGCCCTGCAGCGGCACACGGAGACCGAGCTGTCCCTGCTGCCACTCCTTTTGCATCAAGATGCAAGCATTTTCAGGCCAGCATTGAGGGACTGGGTCTTTTAAATCCAAGGCAGTCTGGGCATAGGGACAGAGGGTGAGGTTCTTTTGACAAATAAATACACAGCTCTTCATCTGCACCGTCTGTGCTCCGCTCCCTTTGCAACCCGCAGAGAGAACGAGGCACTTTAAGGGTGCCTTTTAGCTAATACAACTTTGTGTGTTGGAGACACCTACATTTGGCCAAATGAATCATACCCCAAGTGGCAGAGGGAAGCAAGAACTAGCTAGCCTTTAAGCAAGCTGACAGTCTCTTTATCAGTCTGCTTTATACACCAGTTTTAAGTATTATCCCTGCTGTTAAAACATTTTTCCTATGTTTAGCAGGCCTAAAGATCCCTAAACAGGGAAAATCACTTTTTCTCTTCCTTTCCCTGAGTGTTACCTTTGACAAACTCAGTTCTTTCACAGGAATAATTCCCTGTGCTTCTGTTTTTATAAATATTCATACACAAATAAATATGATTACAATGATAAATTATGTATAATTAAAATCAGATCAGTATTAAAAACAGGTACTAAATAATGCATAATAACTTTATGGAAGTTAATACTGACAAAAGGTAATTTTGGCTTTTAGGAGCTCCGAAATGCTCACAGTGAACAGCTCATGGGAATACGCCGGGAAGAGGAGATGGAAATGTCCGATGATGACAGTGGTGACAATCCCACTAAAAAGCTGAGAGTAGATGATTCAGGTAAATATATGCAAGTGTTGTTTTAGTAAAAGCAAACAAAAACTTACATATGAGAAGTGACATTTTAATACCTGATTATATAAGACAGCATCTTATTTTAAACCCTTATAAATTAGTTATTTGAATGATGCAAGCTGTCTCTAGGAGATGTCTGTCACCTGCTATGTTCTATAATGATGAAAATTCTCCAGTTCTGCCCTTGGCTGGAAGCATTATGTTTCCTTAGTGCACTTTCTCCAGCTTTGCAAGACAGCATTTCATTCCATGGTGGAATCGATGTTTTATTATGAGACCAGTTCAAGTTATGCTTTGGTCAGTATTCTCTAATCTGTACCTTTCTTTGCAACAAAGACATAATAATCTCTAATCTCTGTAAAAAATAGCATTTCAACTGTGGGGCTTTTTAGGTTGCATACTGCCCTTATAAGGGTACCTTTTCCAGTGTGGTACTGCATTCTGCATGAATTAGACACTCATTAGATGGCTATCATGAGTCCAAGAACAAGGGTGCATGTAATGCGAATAAGAAAAACAGCTTTTTCAGCCTTCTACAAACCCTGTGCTAACCAGGATGGACACCAAGAAGCTGCCAGAGTTACTAACTGGTAACATGATCTGGATGTATGCATTCCACTATTTCTTGGCATTGGCTAATGATTTTTGAGTGGCTAACAAGGGTTTGCTTGTTTAGACGCTCATATAAAGAATGACATTTTCAGGAGCTGAAGCCAAAGCATGACTAGAAACTGCCAGGCAGCAGTGAACTTCCAGAAAAATAAAGAAGGAAGGAATAATATGGAAATAAACTGAGAGTCTCCACTAGGGTAATCCTGATCTAGTCCTTTTCATACAGGCACCATAGTAAGAAAGGAAAGAATTTCATCCACTCAATGATTTCCAGTCTTTGTATGCCAGTCAAAAGGTGTGAATTCAAACTTACAGAGAGAACTCCTTGGCTCCTTCTGTGACAAGATACTGTGTGAGGTTGAAGGGCCTCAGAAGTAAAGACCAAAGGAAGGAATGTCATTCTAGCAAAGAAATTTTTACTGTGACATCTCTCTTGAGGGGAGATTTAATATTTTTCCTGGAAGAAAAATGCAACAATAAAAGCCGTAAAGGACAGCTTTAATTTTTGCTAGGCTTTTTTTTTTTGGATTTTTATTTTCTAGATGCCATTAGCAGAGTGATTGAAGCTGAGACAGTGGGTCATTGCAGACCAGGAATTGCTAGAAATCAGTAATTTTTATGACTATCTAATCATTTTACATTGACTGTGTCTGCTCTCATGGAGAAAAGTCATTAGAACTAACAACAGGAAGGTAGGGCCAGAAATACATATAGCCTGCATGCCAGAAGAGATGCAGGAATGTTTTGAACTGCAATACTTACCAATTCAGCAGGTTTAACATATGCATGCTTAGGGCAGAACTGGTCATTCATTTTGTAACACCACAGATAGGAAAGCATGTTTGATTTTCATGCATGAAAAGAGGCATTAATGTCAAAAGTTTTGCTATCTGAGATTTCTACAGTATTCCTATCACAAACAATTTCAAGTTATTTGTATTGTTTCAATATGGGCACTTGAGCAAACAGTCATGTGCTGCATTCTAAATCAAAATTTGGCAATATGAATCCACTTGAGTATGTGTCCATCATTGTTTGTTTTACCATTCATCATCCTCTTAAACCCAGTGGAGTTGATCCATCCTGCTGCATACATAGTCATCCAGTTCTCAAATTAATGTTCTTTCAACACTACACTCGTAGTTAAAGCAAGTGCATTTGGTTCTTCTGTCAATGACAATAGAGAGAACTTGGAATTATACCAAAAGAGCTATCGGGTATAAAACATTGGTAAACGAAAATAAAATGAAAAAGTACTTTTTTATTATTACTCTTATGTACAGAAATGTGATTCTTCTTTCCTTCTTCTGATGTTTTCTAAAATTACTATTTGTGTTAGCTGCCTTCTCTTTTTTTTTTTCCTCTCTAAGTACATCATTCCAGAACCACCACTTTATCTCACTGGAGTGGCTATTTGTATTCACAGTAAATTCTGTTGTATGAAGAATGTCTTTAAAGAGTCTTTTGTCACAAAGAAACCATCTTGCGCAGTAAGAAAACATTGTCACTTTCTTCATTTTTAACCCCTTTAAAAAAAAAAAATCCTAAGAACTTTCTTGGGAAGAGCAAGACTTGAATAACATGAAGCTCTTCTGCTTCTTCAGTTCAAGGACAGCATGCACACATAAAGTTTTAAAAGTCTAAACCCAAAAGTAGCTGAAGCAATGAGACATGATTAATTGATTTGTATGGTTCCAGAGCTCTGCAATGTGTGTTCTGCCACTCCAACAATTTTCTTGAGGACATTATTTTTCAGCCTGCCCTTTTTGACAGTGTGAGCAAGACTGCTGGGAAGTTATGGCCCCAAAGCTGCAATAAGTGGCAGAGATTCCCTCAGGCTTCAACACCTGTGTCAGGTCTCTTTTTCAGTGGTTCACCTGGTTAAGTCACTGCTAGTACAAAAAGGCAAAATTAATTCAACAATTTAGAATGGGTTCTAAGACCTCATTCTGTCTCAGTAAAGCACAGTTTCAGGAATCTCCCAGCATAATTTCTTCTTTCCTAGAAGAAAACACACTGAGTGCATCACATCTTCTCACAGCTAGGAAGTTAGAATGAAAACGTTCCTCAAGGATATCTGAAGATAAACCTATTAATCACCCTGAGAAAAAGAGGATGGATTCCAGCCCCAGCATTTGAAAACATACTGCAACACATCTAAGCCCTGAGACTGTGAAGAAGTACTTCTGTGCTTGAATGCTTGTCCAGAGTTGCTGGACTTGGGGTTTCAGAGTGTTGTGGTTTGACCTAGCTGGCAGCTAAATATGACTCAGCTGCTTGCTCACTCACCCAGCCCAGTGCAATGGGGAGGAGAATCAGAAAAAGAAGTATTAAATTGTGGGTTGACACAAGGACAGCTTAATAATTGAACAAAATATAATGATGATGATAATGGTAATAATAATAGTAGTAGTAGTAGGAATGATGATGAAAAGGAGAGAGAGATGGAAATAAAATCCAAGAGAAAGAAGTGATGAACAATTGCTCACCACCTTCTGAGTGATGCCTACCCTTGTCTCCAGCATTAATTTACTCCTCCTAGCCTAGTTTATATACTGAGCATACTCACACCTCTGTGATATGGAATACCCCTCTGGCTAATTTGGATGACCTGTCCCAGCCACGCTCCCTCCAGGCTTCTTGCACACCTCCTCACTAGCAGGGCATGGGGAACTGACAAGTCCTTGGTTTGGAGAAAGCACTATTTAGCATCAAGTAAAATATCAGTGTGTTAACATCAATCTTCTCATACTAAATCCAAAACACAGCATTGTGCCAGCTGCTAGGAAGGAAATTGACTCTATCCCAGCTGCAAGCAGGACAGAGAGGAATGTTACAGGTAGCTGACACCCTAGAGCACAATAACATCTGGGGATGAGTAAGCTGTTACTAAGAATAGTTTGCATTTTTCTTCGAGGCATGCCACATATTAAGTCATGCAAGAGGTCAAATCATGGTGCATGTTAGAAACCAACCTTTGTTTGGGAAAATTCGTCTTGCAGCACTCAGAAGAGGTCTACATGGACTTGTTGCAAAGTGTGTTGCTCCATTCTAGACTCAAATCCTCTTCTTTCATCTGCAAATTGTGCTTCTGCTAGCTATTCGTGAACTTGATTTATTAATATCAGTGACTCAGTGGCAGAACTGGAATGAGAACTGGCATCTCCGATCTCCTAAACCTGTCTTCCACCCCGTAGTCAACATTGCAGGCCTGGGCCACTGCCTCCTTCACACAGACCTGCTAATCCAGGTGTTTTACAGGTCATTCTCCCCAGGCTTAGTCAGTGCCCTACTCTATTCGGCAAGCTGAATCTTCAAGGAAAAAGAAAGCTTCACTACTTGTTTGTTAGTTGGAGATCATCTCAAACTTCTGCAAGGATTGACTGAAGAACCCCCTAGGGTATCCAGTAAGTTGGTTCAACTGTCACAAGTGCCTAATGTATAGGAAATTCTCACTATTTCACAGACTAAAAGTCATTTGTCTTCCAGGGAAAGCTGGGAAAAGTCTGACCTGAGACTGAGTGAATCTTCAGTCATGGGACTGGCTTTTTTTTTCTCCCCCACAAAATTCAGCCCTTAAACAGTGATTTTTCTGCAATGTGGATTTTGGAGTTTGAAAGAGACAAGAGGATTGCTGAAGTAAAGCTGGAAGATTGCTAAGAAAAAAAACTTAATGATGATTGGCAACTCAGTTAATATATTTGAAAGTCAAGATGCAGCTACTGGGGCATTTGCTCGAGGGAGAACAAAGAGATTCAATGCTGGAGTCTAGAGGATATACAAAAATCTTCAGAATGATCAGGATTTATGGATGCTTCCTCTCCCACCTGCTGGCACAGGGAGTAAGGAGCCACATGTAAAACCCTCAAAGGTGATTTTAAGAATTAGTAAAGATGTGTTTTGTAAAGAAGAACTGAAGTTTGGTTTATGCCTGCAAGACACCTGTTATTTTACTGTAAGGGAAGGTGGATTAATCTTTTGCTTTTGCAATACACAACAACATGCCATTAATTCTAGCTACTCCAACTTCAGCTAGAGACTGGAGCTCGTGCTGCAGAAAAGAGTGAAATGCATTGGGCTTGGAGAGGGGTGCAGGAAAGATAGTTGTGTGATTAAGATGTTTGACTGGGATCCCAGACCTCTATGCCAAATCCCAGCTCTGCTACATATCCCCTGCCTGGAGTAATCAATGAATTTGTATTATCTCAGTTCTCTAGTATCAAATTGAGACAATGGTTCTTCCTTTCATTCTGCCGCTACCTGTTCTGTCCACACGGATAATAAATTTCTTGGTATAGTCCTCCCTCCAGCTCAACAGAATTGCAATAGGCTACACACTGGACCCCTGGAGCATTTCACCACCATTGTACAAC